ACTATTACAACCTCTATTCCAATCTAACTTCAACCATACTTCACCTGTAATACTTGCAGCTGGATTAATTCCATCATTTCTAATTAACTCGATATATCCAATATTTACTTCTCACAAAAAACTTCAATCATCCTTCACATCATCTCCTACAATCTAATAACTTTCTATTATAAAAATGTGTGGCTTCACAATGTGCTTTGTTTAACTCATGTTTAAAACAACAACTTGAAAAATAAAGCAGCTAATCAATATAACCAATTAATCAGATAGCACAAATACCTTCAAGACCTCTTTCTAATTCTAATTCAGATTAGTTAATTTGGAATTTATTTTGTGGATTATTATGATTATTTTTACTCTATTCTAATAAAATTATAGTCTTTATTAAAAAAAATATATATATATATATATATATATATATATATAACTATTAATTTGATGCCTCCTCCAATGATTCGCATCCAGAATCTACTACATAATAAGATCTGATTCTCCTTTTTCTTGGAGGCCCATTATCATCATCATTCTGTAATTATTTATAACAGACCATTTAAGTAAAAGCATAAAAATCAACCAGAAAACAGAAATAACTAAAATACTTGCATCATTATTATTATCATTATCATTAACATTCCCATTGTCTTCATCATCCCCATCATATCCACTCTCCCCCCAGCCTCTGACTCATCTGAATCTTCCTTCTGATCCTCCCTCAACAACAAACTTTCAATTTCACCCAACTCATCTTCCAACTTTGAAAATCTGGCCTTGTTATTTTCATATACTTTGTTTAGTTTTTCTACATCTATTTCATCAATCACCTCCAATATGCTTTTTAAAGCATGCACACACATCCTCTAATTTTATTCCAATAAAACACAAAATAAAAATCTTGAACTTTTTGATTGAATTGGAATATTCAACAAGAATATGATTTACTTACTACTCCTGACTTCCGATAACCCGGATCAGTACTAAATAAGTTAATATTAAAAAGCAATAAAAGTTATAATGATTAATTAAATGATTTTGATGCTTAAATGATTTCTGTATAGTTCTTTAGTAGTACTTACTTCTTTGCTCAGAAATGAAGACCATATGCTAATGAATTTTCAAGAAAAACAAGAGTAACGACAAGTGGCGGGCGATAACCACCACCACCATCCTTATTCTTAAAACACTTACTCATATGTGTCTTTGGTTTCTGCTTCACTGTCTCTTTTTTTAGTATTTTTGAATCTGTTTGATGATGACATTTTTGAAAAGAAGTTTGTGATTTGATCGACGCATACACATTAATTAATTGGTTTTTTTTTTTTTTTTTTTTGGAAAAACAAAAAACAATTTATTTTTTGACAGAGTCCAAGGTGACAAAACGTGAGTGTTGTTGTTTGGTTTGGTTTGGGTCTCCTAAAGAAAACATGTTAATAACTAACCAGAGGTACTTTTTTTTATTTGTATTGATATGTATGAGGTGTCTTTTATTTTAGCTTATAAATATTTTAATTGGAATCAAAACGCAGAGCAGATCTTGCTGGGTAATTACAGAATTTTCATTGATAATATTTTGTTTTTTGTAATCATCAATATTAATAATAATATTATATATATTACTATACAAGAAGATGTCAAGGCAGTACACCATTGAAAAAGAGACATTTCGAATACGCGATGTTTGATTACAGGAAAATAGCAGGCGTTGAAGCACGCACGCTACCTTGAACACTTTACAGTCATTCACACATCTTCCTCGTGTACAAAAGGCTAATCTGACCTGCTCCGCCCTATGGATATGATGATGCCTTCGATACCAGGGGGGAGGCGCATGGCCCTGGAATTTATCGAGACCGCATCAATTGTCAATGACGCTTTCACTAATCTTCCCAGACCAGAGATGGCCGCTGGCATGCTGGATGAAAAGTTATTTGCAACGATCCTACCTCCAGGGCAAGGATAGCACTGTGACCAAGTCGCAACTCTGCTGACGAATTGTAGTGCCATGTAAATATCCAGATCCATCAAAGCAATGAGAATCTGCAACTCGTTTCAAGCACAGGAGGTCACAATTCAGAGCAGGGTTGGTGGCCCTGAAATTGCATTTGGGTTCTAATGTTAAGAGGAAAGTTGTAAAATAGTGTTTGTTTTGTATAATCATTTTTGTAAATGCTCTGTTTTTTTGATACTAACCAATTTATAATTTTGGGTAGGGGACTAGATTGGGTTTTTGCTCAATCAGTTCCCCTGTTATATAGGTTAAAATTATCACATGATCATATACATCTTTGTCAGCAATATGGCCGACAAGGAAAAAGTTATAAAAATTTTTTGGATTTTGTTTGGTATGTTATAAATTAAACATTTTCCCAAATTTTCTGCTCCTCTTTAATTTTTATCTGACCAACTGAATTTGTTATTTTAGTAAATGGGGGTAGGATTGTTGGTGAGTAGGCATGCCACCAACAAGACAGGGGATGCCTTTGGGATGTACCAGCCAAACTCATAGAAAAGGATCTTTTGTCCAGACTTAGGGTCACATGGATGTTAAGCACAGAAAATGTACACTATCAATGTATATTTTTTTCAACAAAATAAGCATTTAAATAATTAATTGTTAAATATTAATACTTTTTCTTTTCATAAAAATTATAGCAACCCAAGGCTCAAAACTCTGAATTCAGGGAAAAACCAATACAGCAACCTCCTGAGTTGCAGAATTTTCAAGCCAGTCTTAACACCAACTTTATTCTAGTGTGGCAATAACATGCAGCAATCATCACACGAATGTCAACTCTCATCAGTGATCAATGCCCATATGATCAAAGCCAAGCCTGGTCTGAGGAAAAGATAGAGGAATGTTTTGTCCAAAGCCTTCCAACATGTTCAAATCCTTTTCACTCATGAAGAAAACTCTATGGTGCTGATTTGTGCTTAATTGCACTGAGTTTGCATGTTTGTGATAGGAAACTTTTATTAAATCTGACACCTATGATCAACATCAGATTTATTATTCGTAAGGAACCATAATTGATAATCAGGAAAAGTAATTTATTATTCTGAATCCCAGAGATCTGGGTAGACATGCATTATTAAAATTTCATTTCTGCATGGCCTTGGTATCATTACTACTTGATTCAATTGTTTGTTATGTCAATGATGATATCAATGTATTTAATAAACATTGTGATTTAGTGTAGCATATGTAAAATTCATCATTCATGTTCAAGAGAAAAGTTAAAAAAGTTTTTTTTTCTCTCTATTTTTGATTCAAATAAAATATAGAAAAATAAATAATTATTTAAATAATTCTTTTATAAATTGTTATTAATGAAAAATAAAGTATTAAAAATATTTATTAATTGTTTACCTTAAATATTTTGTTCTTTGAATGATTTCTATCTTTATCTCTCTCATCTCAATTTTCAAAAACCTACAAAGTGAACATAAAATTATATGTATAGGGATAAGTGTATATGAAAAA